ACCAATCGCTCGGCCAACCTTCAGTGACCCATATTCGACAGCAGATGGTGTGAAATATATCCACCCCAATATCTCCCATGGGTTTTATTGTCTAGATCGGGATCTCGTCAAAACCTACCGCCTTATTCCGTTTGAGACGGCCAATAGCTGCTTGAACCTCATCTTTAAGTGGCATTGGTTCTTACTCTGCAGTTTCGTCGACCTTTAATTCGATGTCTGTTATATAGAGAGTTACGATAGTCTTTCCAGACGCTGACAATCTCCTTGATCTCTGTAATGGTGTCTCCAAAGGCATCTCTATGGCCCAGGACTTAGGCTTGAATTGATGGGTTAAAAACTTTGATTAATTACCTGTCACTAAACAACAAGAGGAAAATTTTGTTTATAACATAAAACTTTGTTCTAAAATAAATTATTCTCTTTTATCTGTATAATATATTTTCTTTCTTTCTTATCTTAACTTGAACAATAAATATGTTATATGTAGTTAGAATGAAATAAGCAATAACTAAAATCAAATACCTAAAACACTCTATTTAAAGTATTTTCTTCAATAAGACTTCAATAAAACCAAATTTAATATGACCCATATATGGGTACTTTTAGTTGTTACAAAACAAAATTATGAATATAGTATCTTTTGTTACAAATTATAAATTACTTAAATTAGTCCAATCAATGACTACTTTTCCGTATAATTTGGCCAAGCCAAGCGGAAGTTCATAAAATTATGGATGCGGCTGTTTAGCTTATACTTTTGTATCGAAGGTAACTCTCTCTCTGGGGTCACTCAAATGTAGTTTTAATAAAACTTAACATCAAAACCAATTCAATTATAACACAAAAATTTTGATGAATATTTTTTGACAAAATTGTACAGTATTCTATGTTACTTTTATCGACTGGACTACTTTTACAAAGAGGATCATAATTTAGGGATTAATAAGTATTAAGAGTGCCCTTGACTAAAAATTTACACAAATAATCGAGTTAACGTTATTTTTCTTCTCGAGCAAATGTCGCACTTTCAGGGCCAATAAAAGAATCGTCCGGTATTGCATAGGGCATGTGTTGTTTACAAGTTGGATGACAGGTATATAAAGACATATCGACATTACAAATGCATCAGTGTATCTGAATACAGATAACAACACAGACCTCATTCAAAATGATGAAGCTGGTGGTGTTGTCCTGCCTGTTGGCCGCTGTATCCGCTGGAGTCCTCACTCCCGTCGCTCCGATCGCGTACACATCATTCTTAGCGCCATCCAACTACAGAGGACCGCTGTCACTAGCGCCTGGACAGCCCGCTAACATCTTGGCTGCTGACGGCAGGCCTTTGGACACTTTGGAAGTCAACTTGGACCGCTCAGCTCACCTTACCGCCAAAGCGTTCGATGGACTACACATTCTTAAGAAGCGCTCTGCTCCCATCTTCGCTGCACCCGCGATTGCCGCCCCCATCGCTTACGCGAAAGCCCCTGCTCTCGCATACACTGTCCCTATCGCTACCCCGATCGCTGCTCCCATCGCCACTTCCTATGGTTACGGAGCTGGTGTCCACATTCTTAAGAAGCGCTCTGCCCCACTGATCGCTGCCCCCATCACTTACACGAAAACCTTAGCCACTCCTGCTCTTGCATATTCCTCTCCTATCGCTGCCCCTATCGCGACCTCCTACAGCTATCCTCTCTCGTACAACGCCCCCCTAATCCATTATTAATCAGATCCTATTAAAGAAACCTGATGTACATATAAACTACTATTAAAAATACATAACAAAAAAAAATATTCTTTTTTTTCAACCTTTCTATGCTTATTTGTATTTGTGATAAATACATTTATTCTTACGACCTTTTAAAAAATAATGTTTTTGTGATAATATATAATTGACAGAAATAAATCAAAAGATATAATATAAAAAAATATATATTTCTATGATGTTATCATTTTTTATTTTCAGAATAAAATAATAATAATTTGATGAATGAAAACAATTATTTACGAAATGACTATACATTTGAAGTAAGCCGTGCGTTTGTGTAAACACATTTCTTGTCAAATGTCGTATTCTTTTCAACTCGAAATCGCTCCCGCTACCGCATCACTCTCGAATTGAGAATGATTTAAGATTTACTATTTTATTTCATCTATAACTGGCATTATTTAGCAATAAACCACCTCAATATTTATTTTATCAATGTTTTTGCAAGAATGAGTAACTTATAATATAGATTAAAGTAATTCATTTATATATATTATTGCAGAATATTCTGTGAATTCCATATTTGATATAAAAATACAAAATACACACCTTAAACACTTTATCCCTTCTTCATTTCACTTGTACAAAGAAAGTATAGAGAATACCAATTCAAGGTTGTGCGGAGCCACTTTCGAAGCTAGTTCTGTTACTTGAGTGAATTCGAATTAGAGTTCTGATTTAACGAAATCATTCTGATAACGCAAATAAACTATACTAGTTGAGTAATCTATGTTGTGTATATTATAATATTTGTGATATAATACTTCAGATACATTCACAAAGCAAGTGAAAAAGTAGAAACCATGCAAGTCGACATTTGTTCTTATTTTCTTTTCTGGAGGCCGCCGAGACTAGCCATTGACAAAGTGTGGCGTTTAAGGGAGTATTAAAAAAGACGATTACTAAAATAAGTATGTATTTTCAACTAAATGGTGACATTATGTTCGACACATTTCAGTCAATTCATGACCAACTATATTTTTGAAAAAGACAATAAAGCAAAGACAGTAATCAACGTTCATCAACACGAAATATGATAATAAAAAAAAAATTGCTGTTCAAAATTTTTTTATTAATAATCAAAGTCGGATATAAAAACAGACTTATTAATTTGAACCTAAATTTTATATTTTAGTATTCCGTACTCAAAGGGTAAAACGGGAATCCTATTACTAAGACGTCGCGTTTTGTTTGTCTGTCAACAGGCTCTATCTCATGAACCGTGAAAGATAGAAGTCAAAAATTTTCAGATGATTTATTTCTGTTGCCGCTTCTACAACAAATACTAAAAACTAGAATAAATTTTTTGACTGCTGGAGTGCTAAAAACTGATAAATACCTATTAAATTATATATAATTAGTTATATACCCGTGACTTCGCACGATTAAATTACAGGATAATTCGCCCGTGTATGATGTAGCTTCCCGTTTTTCGTAGGTGACAGAAATTTCATGAACGGATTCCAATATTTTATATTTTTATTTTATTTAGAAAACAAATAATGATATTAAATCTAGGACATAATACACTAACGATAACAATTCACCAATTGAACGTTTTTAGTTACAACATTTCCGAAAATCCTACAAAGAAGTTCCTACAAAAAAGAAGTCAGAAACTTTATCTCTTTATAATATTATAGTTTATAATATCCTCGAGATTAAGATTACTGTTGGTATTTGCAATAATAGTTCGTTTTCGGAGCTTTATTGCATATGAAAGTCGATAATAACATTATAACTATTCTCTTTTTAAGAATCCTTCGCACAGCAACGGATATTATTTCACGACGAGATATCGTGTACACAAACTTCCCCTGAGTTTTTGATTAAATAAGCCGCAATATAGGTATTCATATTAATTATACTATTTATAACTCTTAGCATACATCTCGGTTATACACCGACATATAGTAACTCGTACAATATAACTTAATTTAAAAACTAAAACCCGACAACAGCTAAATCAAGCTCTAAAAAGTTTTAAACAATAAATTTCTTTTTTAAACTTTTTTGAGCGTGATTTAGCTGTAGTCGGGTTGAGTTTTTGAACTTATTTTTATATTTAATTAATTTTCGGGAATATTTAAGCAAAAGCTATCAATATATTTAAATACTAATTAAGCCCTTTCATTGAATAATATTTTTTTTAGTTTCTTACTTTATGCTCTCTAGAGGGTGCTGTTGCCAATTTATTGTAACGTCACATAGTTGTCCAGATACTATGAATAGTTTCGATTTTATAAGGGAACAGATGAACATTCTTACATGCATTCCATCCAAAATCATAACCCTTCCTCGCTTCGCCACCGTAGTCGAATAAAATAGCGATAATCTTTTATAGTTGGTCAAAAACGACACACGCCATAGTTTTAGAATTTATATACCTTGCGTTAATTAAAAATACTTGTTAATCATTATTATGTCATATCAATTTAAGAACTACTGAAATTTATTTTATAAGTCATTGTAATAACGCCATCAAATGATATTGCAATATAATATCATTACAATGTAATATCATTAGAGCCATCCTATAGATTTATTACGGAAAAAATACAGAATATTATATTTAAAATGTCTATCACGGCATTTTCAAATGTTGCCACGGCATATTCAGGGTTAATTTGACAAATCCTCTATTTATCTTTTATTTTTGGAAGTTTATAAAAGTCACAAGGGTCCGAATCGTCCGAGTCATTCATCGAACACTAAGATTAATGATTTACTAACTAAACACTTTTCAAAGACTAATATTCCGTCTGGTCGAGTGAGCTGGTAGAACATTATCGAGGTATGCGAGAAGCCCTCTGGAATCTGCTGTCAAATATGACAAAAGGTAAATAATGACGAACATACCGATCTGTAGTAACAGACCGTTTTAATTTATCGCCGATTTGTAAAAAATAATAAATTAACTAGATTTACGTCAGCGGCTGCGCCCGCGTGGTCCTGTATTATACATATACAAACTTTTTTATTGTAATATCATTGCCAAATCAAAAATTCTGTAATCGTTTTTGCAAATCATACAACAGGAACTCATAAGTTAGGATTCAAGATATCAACGGTATAATTTACTCGTATTGACATTACTATCAACGATATTTTATTTGTCAAGCAAAAGTTACATTTTCATGGTCAACAAAACAATCGTCCGACAATATATGTCCTGCGTTGCTTATAACAAGATGATGAAATAGTATATAAAGGGCTGCTACACTACGAATGCATCAGTGTTTTGGATTACAGATAACAACACAGACCTCATTCAAAATGATGAAATTGGTGGTGTTGTCCTGTCTGTTAGCCGCTGTATCCGCTGGAGTCCTCACTCCCATCGCTCCGATAGCGTACACATCATTTTTAGCGCCATCCAACTACAGAGGACCCCTGTCACTGGCGCCTGGACAACCCGCTAACATCTTGGCTGCTGACGGCAGGCCTTTGGACACTTTGGAAGTCAACTTGGACCGCTCAGCTCACCTGACCGCCAAAGCGTTGGATGGACTCCACATTCTTAAGAAGCGCTCTGCTCCCATCTTCGCTGCCCCCGCGATTGCTGCTCCCATCACTTACGCGAAAGCCCCTGCTCTCGCATACTCTGTACCTATCGCTACCCCGATCGCTGCTCCCATCGCCACTTCCTATGGTTATGGAGCCGGCGTCCACATTCTTAAGAAGCGCTCTGCCCCACTGATCGCAGCCCCTATCGCTTACACGAAAACCTTAGCCACCCCTGCCCTTGCATATTCCTCTCCTATCGCTCCCATCTCTTATAGTGCCGCTATCGCTACTCCTCTCTCATATAGCGCCCCCCTTATCCATTATTAATCAGAACATTAAGAGAAACCTGATGTAAATATAAACTACAATTAAAAATGTGATAAAATAAAACTTTTTTATTGGTCCTATTCATAAAGCAACTAAATGGAAGTGTATTTCTGTGTAATGAAGTGGTTTTCCACGCAATCGTAACTTAAAAATAATGTTTTGTGTTTCTCAAAAGTAATTAAAGATCACTACAAATACAAATAAAATACTATAGTATAAGTAAAATTAGAAAGATAAACATAATGATGGATGCAACATTTCCTTTTGATTATTACAAAAACCATATCATATTGTTACTAAACCACTACGCTATTACCAACAGCACGGATCGTCATTTTGTAGACATTTTTTTGAATACGGAATCCTTTTGAGAACACTAAACTTTTCACTATTTTACACTTAATTCTTGGTTATGCGTTTAAATATGGATTTATTTGAAAACTGTAACAAAAATAATTTAATAAAATTAGGGGAAGATAAAATTAAAATAAAATAAAAATTATTGAATTTTAATTTCTTTCGTGATTATGTGCCTAAATATAGTAATATTTTATAGATTGATTCACATCAAAAACAATTGTTTTACAATTTAACGTTACTTAGATATACAAATTCATTATTAATCAAAATATTTAAAGTAACCTGATGTACATATCAACTTCAATAAATATTACGAAAAATATTTTTTCTATTTATTCTTTCCACTGAGTACGCTCGGCACGTAAAGCTATACACCACTACGGTAACCAGATCTCTGTTAGTAGGGAAGTTCTTTACGAAGCACGATCGGTACAAAGTGTGAATATGTATGATAACAATATGATTGTGACATTAGAATTCGATGGTAGAAAAAATCTGTAATCATATAAAGTTGTTGAAAGCATTTGTATCATCCAAAATTTTGAGCTACCACCTATTTTGAATATGTTTTGGCAAATGGTGATGCATGAATTTTAGAAGCTTTTGACAGTATTTTTAGCTTTTGACAGAGACTTACATAAATCATGTTATAACCAATTACTATTTGTTACGTTAAAGAAATCTGATAAGTGACTGACTTATTGTATTTATTCATTACCATCGCTTGACTTAAACAATGTAACTTTAATGTGAATTAAAATATACATTTATTTGGATTACTTTCTTAATTACACTCAAAAAAATTATTGGAAAATATTCAGGTACTCTGAGATGGGACTGGAACCCACAACCTCAGATGATCTCAGAGTACCTCATCATCATCAGCCGTTTTAGGTCCCCACTGCAGGAGCTCAGGCTTTCCTTATGGATGGTTAAGGAGGATAGGCTATGACCCTCCACGCTAGCCCAATGCGGATTGGAGGGTATTAACGACTGCAAATGCAGCTGGGACCAACGGCTTAAGGTGCCTTTCGAAGCACGGAGTAGCTCGAGATAATAATTTTTTGGTCATCCATCCCGTGACCGTCCCTTACGAAAGTTGCTTAACGACAACGATCGCGGGCCACGGCGCTTATTCACTACGCTACCGAGCTACCTCAGAGTAACTAAAACTAATGAAGTTTTTTAATTATTTATCATTAAGAATAATTATCCAATATAGTATTGTGAATGCAAAATTCGTCAAATATTATATATACATATGAAATATATTGTTGAAAAATCCACCTCGGTCGGGATTCACACCAGCATTTTCTGCAAAACCAAGACATACCCTTCCATCTTGAAGGTCTTCGACTCTCAAACCGATAAGAATCTTGCTAAACATTCTTGATCAATGAGTATTCTAATTTGTTCTGTTCGAATTCAAAATTGGTATTTTCTATCTGGAAGTATTGTCGACGCTACAAAACTTATTTTGCATAATATTCTTTACACGAATACTTATAAAAATACAATTATTTACATACTTTTTGATCAGCCAAATATTTGTTTGTATGTTAGATTTTACAATGGCAAACTAAGATCACAGATTGCATTTTGATAAGATTTCTTTCGCATATATTGTTAGTAGAAATAAGAAAGTATCGAGAAATAAGTTAAATTACAACTGTGAAATAAAACACGACCCGACTGGTGTAGCGGGACGAACATCTTATACAACTACTAAATCATTCAAATGTGTAGATATTAATAAGAAATGTATGTAATATGACAATGGTTTTTGTGAACTTTGATGCTAATCACTTTCAAGAAAGTTAACAGTTTAAGTTAACAATTTTGCATTCACAATGCTATACTGAGCTGAATCATTGTTCATTAAGAATATAATTGAATTAATTATGTCTTAATATTATGAATATAAAATGTATGCCCAAAAACAATAAAATATAAAAGGGACGCGCCTAAAATTGCAACAATATAGAGGAATGCGAAATTTCACAAAAAAATACTTATTTACAACTTACGTCGCTCTATCAAGGTATAGATCTAATTAAGTGATTTTCAGTTCTAGTTGAAATGACTTTTTACTTAAAACTAGTAATACAAATGTATTATATATTGTAATTTATATGGAGCGGGCAACAGTAGAAGTGATCGCACCATTCATTAAGCAGCATTACATATACTGTTCGAGTCCCAAACTAAGCAACTTCAATGAAACAAATTTTAAACGGTTTCATCGCGTTTGAATTTATTGACGTGTCGAACCCTTTATAGGTTTCATGTTCATAGAAGACTAATGTATTAATTACTTAGTCTTTAATTAGACTAAGTTGTTGATGTGAATACAAACGCCATGAAAATGTTTAAAAGCTGTTTCATTTATGGATAGTGCGCGTGAAAATATAAGACATCAATAGGTAGCTTAAGCTCTTATATTATAAATATCTAGACTCTAGATATTTATAATATAAGAGCTCTATCTAGATTCTAGAGCAACGAATGTAATCCAATCCCGGTACAATGACAATCCTATGAAATGACATTGGAATTTACACTTTAGTAAAGTCATTTCCCAGCCGGGCCAGCGTGGAGGGTCATGGCCCATCCTCCTTAACCATCCATAAGGAAGGCCTGAGCCCCTGCAGTGGGGACGTAAAAGGGCTGATGATGATGATGATGATGAAAGTCATTTCAATTGATATGTGCCTTTATTATCTCAAGATGGTACCGTAAAATTATTTTCTTGATAAGATAAGTATTCAGCTAAATTTTGGAAAACTATTGTTAGTAAATACATCGTAATGTTATATTCTTTTACAAAAGTCGAAAATGTCTTTAGTATTTTGAATTGTTATCATCCGTTTGATTTATTTAATCATCTTTTTTGCAAGCCTACTGTCCGTTGTACAAACGTCCATTAAAATTGCATTACTTTAAAACGACATTACCAATACCAACTTCCAAATTAAGAACATACATTATAGATTAAAATCGTCATTTAAATTTAATGGGCGGTTGTGCAACGGAACGTTAACCAAATTAAATTAATTTAATAATTTGAATTCAAGGATTAACCGTATGTATGTAAGTAAAACTACAAAAAAATATAATAGTGAGATGTGAGTTCTAAGATAGTGCCGTTAAGATCAATATTTTATAAATATTATACTTAAATTAGACCGCGTCTGGATATAGTTATCACAGATCATTATAAGTTGTCTATTACCTAATGAAATTTTGGAGTCTGTTGGTCTTCTAATATATTGTTTTCATTTAAACATGTATGATTGTTTCATGACATAATAAATAACAATGGATACAAAATTCAAATATAATCCCAAAAAGTCACACAAATCTTAGGTAAAAATGCTAGAACTGCTTTTATTTTTACACAATATTCGAAGAAAACACAACAAACCATATTTTTTTATTAAGAAATGCGTGACATGCATCCTTTAGTATCTAGTGAATTATTAATCTATAAAGCGTAAAGATAAAAAGCGCTCGAGTTAACGATCTTTTATTTCTCGGGCAAAAGTTGTCTTCTCAGGGCCAACAAAACAAACTCTTCCGGCAACGCCTGTGCCGTCCTATAAACAAGATGACAAGTATAAAAAGGTATTGCAACAGAGCTAGTGCATCAGTGTTTCTGAATACAGAAAACAACACAGACCTAAATCAAAATGATGAAGCTGGTGGTGTTGTCCTGTCTGTTGGCCGCTGTATCCGCTGGAGTACTCACTCCCATCGCTCCGATCGCGTACACATCATTCTTAGCGCCATCCAACTACAGAGGACCCCTGTCACTGGCGCCTGGTCAGCCCGCTAATATCTTGGCTGCTGATGGCAGGCCTTTGGACACTTTGGAAGTCAACTTGGACCGCTCAGCTCACCTGACCGCCAAAGCGTTGGATGGACTCCACATTCTTAAGAAGCGCTCTGCTCCCATCTTCGCTGCCCCCGCGATTGCTGCTCCCATCACTTACGCGAAAGCCCCTGCTCTCGCATACACTGTCCCTATCGCTACCCCGATCGCGGCTCCCATCGCCACTTCATATGGTTATGGAGCCGGCGTCCACATTCTTAAGAAGCGCTCTGCCCCACTGATCGCTGCCCCCATCACTTACACGAAAACCTTAGCCACTCCTGCTCTTGCATATTCCTCTCCTATCGCTGCCCCTATCGCGACCTCCTACAGCTATCCTCTCTCGTACAGCGCCCCCCTAATCCATTATTAATCAGATCCTATTAAAAAAACCTGATGTACATATAACCTACTATTAAAAATACATTACAAAAAAGATATTCTTTTTTTTTCAACCTTTCTATGCTTATTTGTAAGGTCAAAGTCAAAGTCAAAGTCAAAATAATCTTTATTCAAATAGACTTCTTAAAAGTACTTTTGAATCGTCCAACATTTTTTCCCTACCACTCGTTCAGGACGTCTTTTGGCTGATAAGAAGAACGAGCAAGAAACTCACCAGCTCTAATATGAGTAATGACATTACAAAAACCATGTCATTACCAGATCAATACATTATAAACAGAGATAAAAAACTATAGTCTTATAATAATAACATAATCATTTAATAATAATGGAACAAGATAATGAGTTTAGAGTAATCACCTATCCAGTTGCTGGATCATCTCAAGTCCAAGCGTTCTTATCTGTTACATAATCGGATAC